CCTTCATCTTCAACTCACCCTATGCCCTCTATCTATCTATCTATCTATCTATCTAGCTATCTATTTATCTATCTGTATCTGTATATACGTGCATATAATTTTTCCCCTCCAATTACCCTAATACTAACAAAGGTCTCATGAGTTACAAATATCATCTTTCCATGCAGGAATGTAAACAGTTCAACCTTAATAAGTCTCTTATGATTTTCTCTTTCCTGTTTACCTCTTCATGTTCCACTTGAGTCTTGTATTTGAAAGTCAGATTTTCTATTCAGCTCTGGTCTTTTCATCACAAATGCTTGAAAAGTCCTCTATTTCACTGAATGACCACTTTTCCCCCTGTAGGATTATACTTACTTTTGCTGGGTAGGTGATTTTTGGTTGTAATCCTATCTCCTTTGCCCTCTGGAATATTATATTTCATGCCCTGCGGTCCCTTAATGTAGAAGCAGCTAAATCTTGTGTTATCCTGATTATGTTTCCACAATACTTGAATTGTTTCTTTCTGGCTGCTTGTAATATTTTCTCCTTGACCTGGGAACTCTGGAATTTGGCTACAATATTCCTAGGAGTTTTCCTTTGGGGATCTCTTTCAGGAGGAGATCAGTGGATTCTTTCAATTTCTATTTTGCCCTCTGGTTCTAAAATATTAGGGCAGTTGTCCTTGATCATTTCTTGAAAGATGATGTCTAGGCTCTTTTTTTTGATCATGGCTTTCAGATAGTCCAATAATTTTTAAATTATCTCTCCTAGGATCTATTTTCCAGGTCAGTTTTTCCAGTGAGATATTTCACATTGTTTTCTAATTTTTCATTCTTTTGGATTTGTTTTACAGTGTCTTGATTTCTCATAAAGTCACTAGCTTCCAATTGCTCTATTCTAATTTTTAAGGAAGCATTTTCTTCAGTAATCTTTTGGACTTCCTTTTCTGTTTGGCCAGTTTTGCTTTTTAGGGCATTCTTCTCCTCATTGGCTTTTTGGACCTCTTTTGCCATTTGGGTTAGGCTATTTTTTAAGGTGTTATTTTCTTCAGTATTTTTTTGGGTCTCCTTTAGCAAGCTGTTGACTTGTTTTTCATGATTTTTTTGCATCACTCTCAGTTTTTCCTCTACTTCTCTTACTTGCTTCTTAAAATCCCTTTTGAGCTCTTCCAAGGCCTGGGACTGATTCATATTTTTCTTGAAGGCTTTGGATGTAGGAGCTTTGGCTTTGTTGTCTTCTTCTGGTTGTATTTTTAGATCTTCTTTGTCACCAAAGTAAGATAATATAGTCTGACTTTTTTTGTGCTGCTTTCTCATGATCCCGGCCAATTACTTGAGTTTTAAACTCTTTGTTAAGGTCAAAGTCTGCTTCCAATGTGGAGAATATACTGTCCCAAGCTTCAGGGGTTTGTACAGCTGTTTTCAGAGATAGTTCTAGGGATCTGAAAATTTTCACTTCTTCCAAGGTGCTATGATAAGGAGTGAGGAGTTTTCTCTCCACCACCACATCAAGCTCCACAACACCAGCGTTCTTCCTCACTCCAGGACCGCCCCTCAGAACTGTGATCCAGATTCAAGCACCGGTAAAGCAAGAGGTTTCTGCCTCAGCGCTGGCAAAGAGAACCCTGCAGTCCCCTTCTGATAAGCCACTTGATTCCCCCTCAGTCTGTGGGCGGGAAGCTCAGGAAACAGCCGCAGCCCCAGGCCGCACTCGAGACTTGCGGCTGAGATCTAGCTCCTCTCTCACTGCAGTCACAGACTTTTCCCACTGACTTTCCAAGTTGTCTTTGGTGTTCCTGGGTTGAGAAGTCTGGAAACTGCCACAGCTGCCTGCAATTCAGTCCTCTGAGGCCTGCTCCAGGGTTGCTGTGGCCTGCGTGCCCATGCCAAACTGCTCTCCTCTCCCCACCCGGCATGTTATACCTTTCTGATCAATCATCCAGGCTCTCTTTGACTGGAAATTTGTTTCACTGTGTCTTTTTGTGGGTTTTACTGCTTTAGAATTTGTTTAGAGCCATTTTTTATAGGTATTTGGAGGGGTTTTGGGGGAGAGCTCAAGCAAGGCACTGCTTTCCCTCCACCATGTTGGCTCCTCCCCAATCCCAGCCCATACTTAGTCATTGTAATTACACAGTATTTACTTTCTTTTTTCTTTGTTTTTACATTTACATTGTTATAGCATTGTATACATTGTTCTTCTGGGTCTTCCTATTTTCTTCACTCTGTTAGGCATTTAAGTTCCCATGCTTTTTTGAATTCTTCATATTATTTGTTTCTTAGGACTATGTAATATTTACATTCATGTACAATAATGTATTTAGTCATTCTTTTTTACTTGATGGGATCTACTTTGTTTTCAGTTCTTTGATGCCATATTTGGTATGTATGGGACTTTTTCTTTATGTGTTTGACTTTCTTGGGTTATATTACCAACAGTGGAATCTGGATGTAATAGTATGGACATTTTAGCTTCTTTATTAGCTACTAATCCCTCTTTTATTAATCTTTGCCAATTGACTGAGTATAAGGTGGAACTTCAGAGTTGTTTTGATGAGACTCATTTATTAGGGCAAATTTGCTTTTAATTTTGATTCCACATCCTGTTTGTTTGACTTCATAAGCATTAAGATGGAATCAGATTGGTGACTGGGTCTTTTTGATGCTAGAAAAAGCAAAAGAGTAGCTGTGACAGACTGAAGCACTACTCATAGAATCATAAAATTATATTAAATTTTGAGGAGTTTCATTGCCTTGATTTTGAGGTAGCTTCAAATTATTTACAAAATATAACAGTCTTAAAAATACAGCTTAAAAATGTCTTAAAAAATTCTATGCAACCTCTCTTGATGATACATTCCATTGCTTTACAAAAACTAAAGATTAGTTGGTTAGTTGAAAAAATATTAGTTGGACAAATAGCTGATTATTTCAGAGATCATAATAATTAGAGTTTTAGACCTAGAATGAGCCTAAAAAGCTATTTAACTGCAATCCTCTCATTTTATGATTGTCTCATGGAAGTTAAGTGATTTGCCCAAGGTCAGGTTTCTTAAGAATCAAAATATCTCCTTAAGTGAAAGAAGCTGTTTTCCCCCTTTTCTTTATTGAAAAGGGTGAAATGAGCACGTGTAGCAAATAAGATACTTTCCCCAATTTTCTCCTTGCATATCACTCTTGTCTTAGTAGACAGGCAAATGTTTGGGTCTTTTGTGGGACTATTAAACTGATAATGGAAATGCTGTTTACCTTTACCCTTGATTCATACTTTTGACCATCTGGGCTTATTCTCACTCAAGAACGAGTTTATTTAATCTGTAATTGGAACATACTTCCCACCCCTGAACCTTCTAGACCTTCTGGCCTCTTGTCCGATTTGGATTGTTTTCTAGTTTCCTGACTACTATGTACAATTTTTTGGCTCTCTCAACCCGTAGGTATTGATCTTTGCCTTTCTGTGCCCTTGGAAAAATATTTCTGACCTTTTCTCCCACCCCTATCAACCTCTTACCTTGTCCTTCTGGTACCTTCCAGGAGGCGCTGTGGTTTGATGTCAAGAGTGATGGTCAGAAGACTTAAGTTTAAGTCCTACATCTGATACTTACTGGTTGTGACTAGTTGAATTACCTTGACAAAACTGTTTAAATTTTTTTACCTGTTTGTTATATGTAAAATGAGGGTAACTGTTGGACAAGTAAAAACACCGACTATGCCATTTCTTAAGAAGGAGACACAGGAGGGCTTCTAGCACCTCTATCACTAGCAGGTTCGCTTTTGATCCGGTCTGATGGGAAGATAGGAATGGAGTCATAATAAGGGGTTAAATAAGCTTACTTTATTCTAGTCTAGTATTCTCAAACGGAGTTTGCTGATAAGAGGAGCTCCGACTCCTATAGCATTCCCTAACAACCCATTCTTGTAGGGGTTGGCGTGAAGTGGGGGGCAACTACCCCTCCATCTCAATGGGGTCAGTCGAGACCAGCACAACTTGTGCTCTCCCCTAAATCCCTTCAAGCCTCAGTGGGGGCCATTTGAGGCAAACACATAGATTCCCCCTCCTAAGCCTTGATGGGGGCCGATCAAGGCACGTACGCACAGCATTCAGCCTGCACGTTCACTCCTATGGGGGTCCCCAGTCACTGATCTGTGCCCACTTGCTTAATTTGTAGGGCAGTGGATAAAGAAGGCATATTGCCAGCAGTAGCCTCACAATTTTACATCACTTCATCCGTATATCTACCGAGACCACAAAGTATAAACTGTTTTGAACCATGATTGTGAGAACTCATATCTAACACCTGGGAAGTAAAGATTGTTATGGCTATGGATCCTGGGAAGAAAACTAAGAAAGAATAACAAGAAGGCCCCCTTGCACACACTAAAATTCACCTTCCTTACAGTAACATATCAGCTACCTCAGAGTGTATGTGTGAGGAAAATGTTTTGTTAACCTTAAATCACTTTGTAAACTACAGCATGTTTAGCAAAGGCTTTTATTTTATAACTAAGTAATAATTTATCTTGGTATAATAGTAACAGAATGAAAGGGAGTTATGTTTCAGGGAAGAAAGAAGTGACATGGCTCTTTTGATTTGCATTTTACTTATTAGTGATTTGGAGAATTTTTTCATATGGTTGTTATATATGGTAGGCTGTAATTCTTTTAATTAGTGTTTCTTTAGGTAGGTGGAATGGAAATAGCACCAGACTTGGAGTCAGACCTGAGTTCAAATCCTGCCCCAGATAGTTCCTGGTTGTATAACCTTAGTAAATCATTTAAGCTTTTTCAGCTTCAGTTTCGTCATCTGTAAGATGGGCATAATAATAATGCCTACCTCAGAGAGTTGTTATAAGGATCAAATGAATTAACATGTGAAGAACTTTGCAAACCTATGATGATGCTGATGGTGATGATGACATCTGCTGCTACTACTACCACTACTACTAGTGTTACTACTATTATATCCTGTGAGCATTTATCTATTTTCCATAACTTTTTAATTTGTTTTTAATCTGTTCTAGGAAAACTATGAACGAATGAAAGCTCTAGTAACTGAACTACATGAGCGAGCAGAGCGTATCAGGCTAGGTAAATATAGTGACATTTATTTTATTTTAAAATTTAATTTTGTGCCTTTATAATTAATCCTGTGAAGAGTTGCCAAAGTGATATTCCTGAAGCACAAATCTGACCATGGTTCTCTTCTGCACAAAAGTTGTAGTGACTTCCTGTTGTCCCTAGGATGAAATTCCTTTGTTTGGCATTTAAAGCCCTTTACAATTTCTGCCAAGATTTTCTTTCCAAATTTATTATGCTGTATTCCCCTTTACAATCTCTATCTTAACCCAGTTGGCCTCCTTGTTCTTCCACACATGTAACACTCTTTCTCTGTGCCGTTGGCCTGGTTTCAGTGTGCATAAGTACTCCTAACCTTTGCTTTTTATAATCTTCAGCTTCCTTAAAAGCTCAGATAAAGTGCCACTTACTATATAATGCCATTCTTGATTTCCCCCAGTTACTAATATTTCTGTCCTCCCCAAAAATAACTTGTACTTTTTATATGTTTTGTAATCATATGGTTACGTGTTGTTTCTGTCAATAGAATGTAAGCTGTTTGTGGGCAGAAACTATTTTTGATTTTTTTTTTATCCCCAGTGTTTTACTTACAGTGCCTGGCATACTGTATCAATCTGTCAGTTAATCAATAAGCATTTAAGTACCTACTGTATGCCAGGTACTGTGCTAGATGTTTGGGATACAAATACAATTAGTGAAACAGTCTTTATTCCAAAGAAATTTACTTTCTAATGGGTACTTGATAAATGCTTGTTGATTAGTTTATTGGTCAGAAAAGAAATTATAATTTTTTTAAAAGCTGGGCTATTCCTAGGTAGAGTAAGAGGTGTATTTCATGATATAATTTGAGGGGGTGTCTGTCTGTCTCTTTAGTTTGCTAGGTTCTTCAACAGCATCATAAAAGTCCTTATAAGCATTGTGTTGCACTAGAAAGAATGCTATTGGAGTTGGAGGATCTGGGGTTTAATTATTTGTGTTCCTTTGGGCAAATCATTCCTCTCCAGGTCTCTATTCTGTCATGTATAAAATGAGAGTGTTAGACTAGATAACCTCTAAGGGAACTTCTAGCTCAGATGCTATACTTTTATAATCTATTGTTTGGAATAAGTCATGGTCTCCAAAAAAACCCTGTTAGTTATTTAGAATGGGTTACTAACCCATTAACCTGTTCATAGTTTTGCCTTGTTATTTGGTCTTTTGGGCAGGAGCATGGAGGATTTGTGGGGAGAGCACACCTAGGTATGACAAAGATGGGTGAGGAATTCTGCAGTACTAGATGAGAATGGTATTGGTTGCTTGCCAGGTGGACACCAAAAGAGGAAAGAGAGATATATTTTACCAACTTTACAATTTTGCGTATTGCTAGTATGGTTACTGGCCTTAGAATAGTTCTGATTTGTCAAATTTTTTTGGGGGGGGTGGTAGGGTTGTGGGGTTCCTACTATGTTCCTAGCATTTTGTATTTTACTTTGTGTTTTCTTTGTATACACACTTAGAATGAGAGATGAGAGTGTAATTTGTTTTGGCCCTCCCCCCCTTTTCGATTATTGCAGTGCGTGAGTTTTCTAATTTCAAAGTAAAACACTTTTCCTTTTAATTTTTTCCTAAGAAAATAAAGAAGAATTAGAAATATCAGAATTTCAAGGTGTCACTTTAGAATAATGAAATAAAGTGTTTTTGTTGATAGGAAGGCTTGTTAAGTGAAAAGGATTGTGAAGAATAGCTAACTTTCCCTCACCTTTTGTTCCCTTCCTCTCTCTCCTTTACTTCTCCTCCCCTAATTGTGTCATTTCTGCCTTTGTTTCAGATTTCCTTTGAATTTTACAGTCTTCAAGTTCTCTTATGTTTCAGCCTTTAATATTGCTTTTTGAAGACTTAGTCATTTGTTTGGGAAGAAAGGAACTGTAGTTTTATTATTAATAAAACCTTAAATAGTGGAACTAAACATGCTATTTAATTTCATTTACTGAAGTGCTGCACATATATTAATGCTTATTGAATGCTGAATTACTATTTTATGTATCAGTAGTATAGTTGTAGGTAGACCAAAAAAATTCTGGTTATCTTCTGAAAGAGGATCTTTTTTTAGTGGACTCTAGCCATACCATATACTTTGACCTTTATGAAGTTCACAGTTTAAGAAGGCTAGTGATTCTTTAGATCTGCTACCTATTTCCATTGAAGAAAGTTTAGGCTTAAAAGGAGTACTTCTGCCCAGTCGTTCAGTCAGCAAACATTTATTAAGCATCACCTTCACAGAGTCCCATCATAATACCTCCATGGTATGGAGGTGACCTAGGGTTCTCAAAGATTATGCCCACAGAATGCAGATTTTGGCATTTTTTACAATGCTAACAAAACTTTTGAGTGTGTCCCTAATAACAGACTATGTCTGCTTTCTGAGGACCAGTCTATGTTAAATATAGAGTCTTATCACTTGTAGGTTGGCTCCTTAACAGTGAATTCTTATGATCTCAAAAAAAATGTGTTCATTCAATAAGCATTTAGCAAAAATGCCTACCATATGTGAGGCATTGTGCTCTCTCAAGGAGTTTATGTTCTTTTGGAGAAAAACCTTGTTTACGTAGATCAACCAGTACAAAATATGTACAAACAAATAGGGGAGTGGACGTAAGGCCCTGAAAATGTGAAGGGATCAGGAAAGACACTCGTATAGGAGGTGGCCCTTGAGCTGAGCTTCAGAGGAATGGAAGGATTCTTGGAGGTTGGGCTGAGGAGGGAAGACTTCTAGGAATGGTGGACGGTCCTGTATTCCAGTAGCACAGACAAGAGGGATGGAATTTCAGGTCCTGCCAATAGCACATAGGCCTGTTGAACTGGACAGTATACAGTGTATGGAATAATGGGCAATATATCTAAAAAGGAGAGGCTGAGAGCCTTTTATAGAAGGCTTTCATGCCAGATGGAGGAGATTATGTTGGATCTTACAGGCATGAGAGAACAGCTGAAGCTTTTTGGGAGTGATATGGATCTATTCTTTCGGAATATTGCTTTGGTAGTTGGATAGAGGGGGGATGAGATTTGAGGCATGAAACTTTTTTATAATAGTCCAGGTGAGAGGGGATGAGAATCTGAAATTGGGTGGTATCTGTGAGTGGAGAAAAGGGGATGGATACAAGAGATGTTATGGTGGTAGAGTCAACAAGACTTAACAAATGATTGGCTATGGGAGGTGAGAGTGTCTGAGGTTGTGAAGCTTGGTGTTGGAAGAATGATAGTGCCCTTGATAATAAATTCTTTGATCACAAAGAAAATTTGTTCATTTAATAAGCATCTAGTAAAAAACGCCTACTGTGTGTAAGGAATTGTGCTTATATATATTTAATACTCTGTGATTTCAGTGCAAAGGTATATAGGAGAAGGTAAAAAATATGTTGGAAAACATGATTTTTTCCATGCAGTGGAGATATTACAGTTAATTTTCAGAAGTCAGTAGCTTATAATCAAAAGAAATAGTTGCAAGGATCAACTGCTTCCTTAAGTGATAATCTTAAGCTTTTAAAAAGAGTCAATAGGCTTTTATCTAAAGTAGTAACCTGTTTATTTAGTACTACATTAAATATAGATAGTAGCCTGCAGTATCTGCTTTGCTGTAGGACTAGGCAGCAGAGAAGCTCAAGGGGTAGGATGTTGGACTTGGCACCAGGAAGATTTGGGTTCCATTTCCGTCTGACTCTGGCTGTGTTACCATGGGCAAATCACTTTAAAATCTTTAAGCTTCACCTCATTATTCTCATTTGTAAAAAGAGGGTATTACCTGTAGTACTTATTTCATACAGGAGTGATGAGAGTCCAATGAAAATATATATTGAATGTTTTGCATACCTTAAAGAACTATATAAATGACAGTTATTATTGTGATGCTAATGAAATAATTTAATTGTCATAGGAGGTAGTGAGAAGGCACGGAAACTTCACACATCAAGAGGAAAACTGCTGCCTAGAGAAAGAATTGACAGACTCTTAGATCCAGGGTTAGTATACTTTTAAGTGCCAATGCAGAACACCTCTCCTCATTCATATTGTTATTAGAATGGGTAGCCTTGTGGAGTAATTGAGAGCAAGGACTGTCTTTTGCCATTCTCTGTATCCTCAGCACTAAGTACATTTCCTAGCACACAATTGGCACTTAATAAATGTTCGTTTACCTGACTAATTATAGTGGGATTTCATTTCTTACAATTGTTTTTTAATCAATAAATTTGCAATTCTTGATTTTCATTTGGAAATTTCTTCATAACGTACTAAAGGCATACATTTGAAGATTAGCAATAAAGAAAAAATACCTTTTATGTTGAGAAACTTTTTTTAATGTGTTACTTTGTTTAGTTTTGTTTAATGACAGTAATTTACATACTATCTTTTTCCTCTCTGCAGATCTCCATTCCTGGAGTTTTCCCAGTTTGCAGGTTACCAGTTGTACCCTAATGAAGAGGTCCCAGCAGGGGGAATTATTACAGGCATTGGCCGAGTGTCAGGGTAAGGACCTTACGTGTCTTCTGCTGGGCAGTTCATCATGGAAAAAGACTTTTCATGGGGCCAAGATGTCTAGGACTTTGCTTTCTGTGTTAGATTTGCAGAATTTATGTTGATTAGAGATTCTTTGTAGGGAGGATTTAATTTAATCCATCTAAATTCTTTCAGGGTAGTCTCTATCTCCAAATTCCTGTTTCCTTTCTATGTAGTCTGAATTAGCAGTGAAAGACCAGATATATTCAACCTCTGCATTCAGCCTCTCACCTCTCCAGTCTATCCTGCACAGCTGCCAAATTGCTGTTCCTGAAATACAGGACTTGATGAGGTCACTCTGCTGCTCAGGAATCTTCAGTGGCTCCTTGTCTCCTTTAGGATAAAATGCAAACCCCTGTACCATCTGCTTTCATTCTTTAGTTCTAGGATGATTACACATTATTCCTGTTCACACTTCCATGCCTGAGGTAAACTGGCCTACTTCCTGTTCCCCATATGTGACATTCTATCTTCTGCTACTACCATGCCTAGAATGTTCTCCTTTTTTTACCGCTACCATTTGGAACCCCTGGCTCCCTTCAGGGCTCTGGTCAAGTGCCACCTTATTAAAGAGGACACTCCTGAGTCCCCTTAGTTGTTAATCTCTACCATAGCATAATCACTGCTTATTTTGTGTAGATTTTGTGTTTACATAGCTGCAAATAGGTTGTATCCCCCAATAGGAATGTAAGCTCCTTGAGGGCATTAACTATCTTAATTTGGTGTTTATATCCCAGCACTCGGTATAGTGTCCTGGCACATAGTAGCCACTTAAAGAACCCTCACTAGAGCTAAACTCCTAGATCTCTCCTCCCTTTCATAGCCACCTTCTGGGAAAACTGTCTACCTTCATTGTTTCCACTTTCTCTTCTCTCATCCCTTCTCAGTCTGGCTTCCAACTTCATCACTCAATAGAAACTGCTTTCTCCAAAGTCACCAGTGATCTCTTAATTGCCACATCTGATGGGTGATCAGATTCCAGTCTTTCTCTAGGTCACTGCAGCATTTGATGCATTGCACTATCCTCTCTTCCTGGATACTCCTCTTTCAATTTTTGTGGTGCTGTTCTTTCTTGGTTCTCTTCCTCACTGTCTGTGGGTTCCTTTTCAGTCTTGTTTGCTATTTCATAATTCATGTAATCACCCCCACACCTCCCTGTAGGTGTACCTCAAGGCTCTCCTCTGGGCCTTTTTTTCTCTTTATACTCTTTTACTTGGTAGCCTTGTCAGTTCCCATGGATTTCATTATCATTTCTATGCAGATAACTCCAAGATCTACATATAATTCAACATTAGTCTCTCATAAGCTCTAGTCTCATATAAGAAATGAGAGAAATTATTATTTTACTATTATTTTAATAACCAATTATTAAATTGAGATCTAGACTTTTTCCCTTTATTTCCTCATTAAGGCCCAGCTCCTGTAAAAAGTCAGTGTCTGAGGAACATGACTGATTGATGAGATTGCCCCCAGCCATCAAAGAAACATGCTCTTCAATCTTGGATGGGATCCCAACCAACTAGGAGACCTAACTTCTACTTAGAGTGTAAATAGAATCCAGTCTGGGTGAAGACAGGGGAAAGGAGCCCCTGTCCTTATACCTCTCCATTTGAGTTTAGGGTGACTCAGCTCACGAAGAAGAAAACCAGTCAGAGAGGTCTGGATGAAAATGGTTTCCTCCGCCCAGATTGTTGGAGGCAGCTGATTCTCATAATCAAGCCATGGTCTCAGCAGGAGGAGCTGAAGACTTCTAGCCCACTCCCTCATTAAATGTCCACCCATCAGGGCTGATTTCCACTTGTCAGGGGCATTCCTTTTCAAAAAGTATTTAAGGCTTTCAGGCCCTCCATTGGTCATCTTTGGTTCCTGAAAGAAACCACTGACCATCAATCTATTGATTGCCAGCTGGCCTAATTGATAAATCAGTTACCCAAAAACTCTGAGCTAGATGTTGGTGATACACATACCAAGAAGGAAACAACCCCTGTTGTCAAGGAGCTTCTGTTCTGTTGGAGGAGATACGTATCTCTATAACTGTAAATACAATAAATATGCCTTTACAGGTCGAGGAGGGGAGCACAGGGGTTGGGGTTGCTGTGCAGAGGCACTTCATAACATAATTATTGAATTGAAATAGACAGCTGTGGCAGGATGATTTGTAATGATAAAGTGAAATTGGCCTTTAATTTTACAGAAACCTTTCACATTACATTCACATTATGCTTTTCAGAGTGGAATGCGTAATTGTTGCCAATGATGCAACTGTCAAAGGTGGGACCTATTACCCAGTGACAGTGAAAAAACACTTACGGGCCCAGGAAATTGCCTTGGAAAATAGGCTCCCCTGCTTGTATTTAGGTAAGTCAGCAAAAGCGATATCATTTATATAATACTCAGAAATATAAATAAAAAAAGGTTCTGTTGAAAGAGCCCATGTACCTGCATGATGACCTAGGGGATTTCTGAAGCAGTGGCCCTTGGCAGTGTGGGGCTTGCTGAATCTGTTCCTCCACAAAGACTTCTCAGATTTCTTCCTTCCCCCACTCTCAGCTGAAAGTAATTTGACTTTCCTTTGCTCTAACATAGCATCCTTTATTCCACTTCTATATTATTTTATAGTTATTTGTGTACATTTCTTATCTCCCCTCTGAGGCTTCATGAAGGCAGGGAGTTGGGTGATATTTTTCTTTATATTCCTAACAGAATCTAGCACAGTGCCTTGCACATGGTACATACTCATTCAGTGATTTTTGGGTGAATGAATGAAGTCATTGACCTTCTAATAGCTAGTGTTCTTAAAGGCCTAATGAGACTTTTGCTAATAGTCTACTTAGATTATTGAAAATGCACACTGTTAAAATCCAGATCAGGTGTTCTGTGGATCCCTTCTCAGAAAATTGTTTTAAAATACATAGTATTACAAAGGAAACCAATTGTATTGAAATATAATTACCAAAATATTAAAAAAAGGTCATGGATCCCAGGTTAAGAAATGCTGATCTGAATGCTTGACCAGCCTAAGATTTTAGTATTAAAACTTGATTAAACAATATGTTTAGTTTGGCCATATCATTTATTTCATCATCAGAAGGTATTTGCATAATGATCTCATTCTTTTTTTCTTAACCTTAAATTGTATTTTTTTCCAAAGGTCTGCCTTATCTTCCATCTCACATCCTTGGCCCTTCTACCCACTCCCCTCCCATTGAGAAAGTGAGAAAAACAGACATCTCTGTTACAAACATGTATCATCAAACAAAACAAATTTCTGGACTGGCCACGTCCTTGAAAAATGTGCCTCAATCTGCACCATGTCTATTACCTCTCTATGATGATCCCATTTCTGAATCCTGATTTCTAATAAGGTGCTAGAAAGTAAGAAAGTAAGAACTTCATTTATTTATTAAGTGCCTACTATGTGCCAAATCCTTTACAAATATTATCTTGTTTGCTCCTCACAACAGCCCTGGAAAATTGCATATCCATTTTACATTTGAGAAAACTGAGGCAAACAAAGGTTAAGTGACTTGCCCAGGATCACACAGCTAATAAGTATTTGAGGTCAGATTTGAGCTCAGATCTTCCTTACTCTAGGCCCAGCACTCAGAGACAGACATTTGCTCATTATCATAAGGTTAGATGATTAATATTACCAAGGTTGGAGGGAATGGCATTTCAAATATCCATGTTGAGAAGCCTATAGTTAGTACCTGTGTATATGTATAAACAAAAATAAACATCCCCACAAAATGGCTAGTCTTAGATCAACTGTCCTTTAGCATCAGGGTTATTTTCTAGGATGATGGTTTAATCAAGTGAAACAAGTTGTCCAGTTATTTCCATACTTCAGTACCTTGAAGTTTCTCACAGCTATGTGAGCAGAGGTAGAAAGTTTGGAGATAAAAGGACAGTGGAGTCATTGGAGCATAGACTTTAGAGCTGGAAGAGATCCTAGGAACCATTTGGTCTACTCTGTATTTGTGGGTATGGAAACTGAGGCCCAGTAAAGTTAAGTGATTTGTCTAAGATCTTATGGGTACTGTGAGTATCAGGATTTGAACCTTGGTCCTTTCATTCCAAATCCAGTGCTCTTTCCCTTGCATCCTGATAATAATAACTGGCACTTAAATAGTGTTTTAATGTTTCTCTCTGCATCAGTTACACTATGCATACTTTTAAAAAATCAGTTTTTTTTTCCTTTTTTTTGGGGGGGGGGGTTAGGCAATGGGGTTAAATGACTTGCCC